CAAAAACCAACATCCTTTTTGGAAACAATTAAAAATGGCAGAAAACTATTTGAAATATGTTTTCCATTACCTTCCTTTTTCTGGAATTTGATCCTTTACTACATTGCATTCTACAAAAAGATTACTGTATGATAAGAAAATCAGTTAGAATTAACACTTCGTTCTAATTCTCTTTGGGTATGATGAACAGCATACCTGATCTGATCAAATTAACATGTTGAGCACAAAGCTAGTTTAAACATGTTTTTTATTCAGTAGTTAAAGTTTCTTGATAGAAAATTACTATCTTATATTTATTTTAAGCTCTTTGTTAGTTTCAAGAGCTTGCCCTCTTGACCCCTCAGAAACAATCTATTTCTAAGCAAATATTTTTCAGTCAATTTTGTTATTAGATTCCTTTTCACTGACGACCCTGCTTTATGTTAAAATAACACTAAATAATGCAAATTGAGACAGTTCTTAAAATACAAAGTGCATATCTTGGAAAATCAGATGCCAAAAAGCTGAAAGAAGCTGTGAAATAAAAGTGACCTTGGTTGCTCTGAAATATCAGCAGTTGGTTACAACTTTGCTTGAAGAACCCATGACAACATTGCGCCGAATATTCTCAATAAACACTGTCTAGCTTAATGTAAGAGCTTGTTATCAAAATCAATTTTTAATAATTCATTAAAGATATTTGCTCTCATCATCACACTTTCTGTAAAGTAGGAGCCAATCAGAAGTCTACACTTATAAAATTCATTAACAAAAGGCTGTCCTTGTCTTATGAAGCTTGCCCCTTAACATTGGCACAGCTTATCTATTATCTTTCTCGCTCAGGGCAAGTTTAACAACAAATGGTTTATTCAAGCAACTAAAGATTTTTTTTCTCTTCATGTGAATCATAATGCACTGACAATTCAATTAAATATGTCACCGCTGCATTATCTCCATATTTGCACTCTCAAAGAATTTATCTACATGGGCAATCCTCTCAGAAAAAGAACAGTCTTGTTCATCATATGAACACAGCCTGAGAAATGAATTACTAGATATATTAATCAATGCATCTTCTTACAAGGCCGAGACTTCCTTGCGATCGTTGATGTAATCAGCAACAACAGTGACCCTCAAGTCGCTCTGTAATAAAATAGTATTTTTATAATATCTATGTATCTAAAAATTGCTTTGCAAAAAAGAATTCTAGATATACTAAAGTCTTTTGACTGACACTCTAAGGAGTGAAGATCAAAAAACTCTAAGTTGGGAAATAGAAAATATATACACTCAGCACGTGAATATTAAGGTTGCCCAATCAGTGTTGCCTGCCTATAGAAAATATCCCCAATGGAGCATTAGGGTCAAAATAAACTCCCTGTATCCACACATGAGTGGTTATTTATTTTCATGCATATCAAATCGAAAACAGCTAGACAGATGACACATGTACACCGACTGATGTACACATAAATGAAGATACTGCTATTGCTAATCTATAGAGCCCAATACTGAAATTATACATCAATTTAAAATTAGCAGGAAATCAAAGAGGCAGGCTAAGGCATTCTTATTTTCTCCAGTTTTGTAAAATGTGACCCTGCTTAATGGTGGGGTACTGAAATGTTGCAAAATGGGAACATTCCACAATATAAAAAGGGCATGGTCTCAGAATCAACCATATAACTGTTGAAAAGCACACTAAAAACTCATTTACAAGCTGAATGTTATAAATGTAACATGAAAACAAATTTTCAAAATACTAAAGCATTATCAAATTTCCTAAACAGACAAAGCAAAATTTTGAATATAAAACCTTGACATCGCACTTTTTTCTTGTTTTTTCTTCTAATTTTTCAGTAAGTCCATATTTCAAAGCATCTTTCACTGAAACAACATCTTCCTGTTTCCATACTTCGTCTCTAAGAAGAGAAAGGATTCACAGCAACCATCAATAATGTATTCTATTGAGCTTTCGAAAACGTTTTTTGGTGACAGTCTGTCTTAGGAAAACCAAGTTGCTCATTCAGTTAGAAATTAACTATTTGAAATAAAATGGTCAACTATATGAACACAAAAGACTAGCAAAATGTTAACCTTGTTCCAGAATTAAGTACATTGACATTATCTTACTATTTTGGTTCTTACCAAACTTCCAGAAAACATTAAATTTTACTACAATATATAAATGAACACAGGAACTGTTACAAGACAAAGGGTAGAAGATTCAATTTCAGTCACAACAAATGAAAGGCATCATTCAGAAATTTTTCTTCATTCCCATTTTAAAAATTCCCATCTTTTACTTGCCAGCAAGGGTTTTCAAACTAGTTGTAAATTAAGAAAGAATCTTAGGCAGCCTTTCCACTAGCCTGGGTTAAAACAGATTCGGGTTAAAAGTTATCCGTTTTTCAAGTGAGTCAATGGAAACGGCATTTTTCTTCGACCCGTTTTTAATCCGTTTTTGATCGTTCCCACTAAGCCGGGTTAAATTGTATCCAGGGTGAAAAGTTGTAAGAGAAATAAGTATTTGCATCAATAATCCTTCAATTTCTATTGTTTTGGCCAATGGAAGCAACATTGACATCCAGGATTTTTTTTTTATTTTTGGCGCTATCTCAATTTTTAAACGTTGCTGTTGTTGCAAGTGGGTCAGAAGTTATCCGGGTTTCGGCGTTTCCATTAACTCGCAGGTGGGTCAAAAGATACCCGGGTAAAAACTGACCCACTTTGAGACCCGTTTTCAAACTTATCCGTTTTTCAAGTGGGTTAGTGGGAACGCAACGCAGAAACGGATAACTTTTAACCCGGATATGTTTTAACCCAGGCTAGTGGAAAGGCTGCCTTAGTCAAGGTTCTCATTGATCGATGACCCTCACAGGGTATAGGGGCATGCCGGAATATAAAATAGCT